GTTGAGTTGAGTTAGGTTAGTATATTTAGTCAGCCAAAGCTAAATGTGCCCTTGGATTACCTATTTAGGCAAATTTTGAAAGCCAATCCAAATCCATGCATAATACTACTCCTCTTACAGACAATCTAAATATAAACACAATTCCCTTGAACTTTAGCACTTTCGCAAGTAATCTTCCTAAACAAGTTGCCCTCCCGCCGCTAGGTCATGATTATGACCAGGTTGCTAATATCATTCACCCGGAGATTCTTAAGTACCACTACGAGGTGCTTCATCGCGGATATGTGGATCGGTACAATGCGGCTGCAGCAAACTTTACGGACCAGTCGATTGAGAACTTTCTCAGTGGATCGGGTATTACGGATCCGGGGCGAAATAAACAGTTCTTGTTTGGTGGCTACATCAACCATGCTCTCTACTGGCGCTCGTTCTCTCACGATGCAGCTAACTATCAGATGTCTCAAAATCTGGCTGCTCTATTCAACCAGGCTTTTAAGAGCCGAGAAAGCTTCAAAGAGGAAGCAACTAAGGCCATGAATCAGATCCATGGCTCGGGCTGGCTTTGGGTCATGTACTCCCCTCAGGCAGACCGGGTTTATCTTAACATCAGCAGTGAGCACTGGTTCCCTGTTCAGGACGTTCCCTTGCTTGCTGTGGACGTCTGGGAGCACGCGTATCTCTGGTACAGCGAGAAAGGCTGCAAAGTCCAGTACATCAGCAAGATTCTGGATGCACTCAACTGGAAGTATGCCAGTGAGCGGCTGGATCTAGCCTTGGCAGCCAAGGAACAGGATAAGAAACAAAGCGGCCTTCCGGCGTCGGATCCGGGCATTCCCGCTAATGTCTTATTGAAGGGCTGCCACACAAGTTAGTATTCAGTTATGTTGAGTTAAGTTGTGTTATGCTAATTCAACTCAATTGGTGGATGCCAGATCAATATTATCTAAATCCTAACCCAATATTATCCAAATACCAACCAAATACCAACATAACCCAATCCAATTTGATTGCAATAAATCGGCTTTTCCATTATCTATGTGGTGTCCTCGCCGGCCTCCACTTTAAAGTGAGTTATCTACAAGGGCAAAGTTCTGTAATATTTATCGGCCTGGTACTGATCGCAGCGAACGCGATTAAATCTCAAATTAGAAATCACGACCTCAAATTAGTATTTATACTCTGAGTTGGTGAACTATCTCAAGATGACGTACGATAAAGAGAACTTAAGATATACTAACTCAATACTATCCCTTTCCCGGAGCACGACAGTTTAAGATAGTTAATTAGCCTATCATTCATAGTATGGCACCGAAACTCACAAAGAAACATATAAGTAAATCCATCGCGTGTTCCATTGTATTTGTGCCCTATATTATGCAACGCAGGCGGATCTGGGTTGTGAACCGAACCCATAAATAACATATGCTCAATATAATGGAGTAGTCCTTGATACTTCGCCGGCTCCTTGAAATATCCTCCACAGGCACCCAATACTAACCCAACTTACAAAACACCCCCAGCATAGCAGGATATTCCTTTGAAAAGCATGTAGACTGGCCACATTTATACTTAAGATTCGACTGTTAATGCGTCCCATAAGGAAAGGACAACCGACCCGAACACAAACATAAACAACAATATTGCATATCATTGATAACACCAACCACTTTTATTACTTAGACATAAAGTGGTTGTAATACGATATGTAGTGGTTATAAAGCATAGCTTCTTTGCCCGTTTCGAGCACCGGCCCGTGTTCATTGTATCGCTCTTTGTAGAGCAGATCGTAGTACTGGGCGCAGTAAACCTCGTATTGCAGCCGCCAGTTAGAAGAAGGCGAAAAAGGCTGAATGTCTTTGTTAATGTGCCCGCGAGTAGAAAATAGAAGCCGGTTTGCTTGTGGCGCCTCGGGCACGGTCGGTATCACCATTCGAGCTGTTGCTGGCCGGCTTCGGGTCTGTTTCTTCCCGCCACAGCATCCTTTTGCACGGTGACAAGCCAGCAGACGGCTCTGTGCTTTCTCTTGTTGGATTTGGGCCTCTTTGAGCATGGCCATCCTATAGCGATACGCCTCAAAGACAGGCGTGCCATGGGTCTTTAGATAGCGCACTGTTGTATTCCAGAAATTGAGCTGCTGACTTTTCTGCCGCCCTAGTATATAGGCATTATCGGATGTTGAAAGATGATCAAAAATAGCCCGTATTTGCCAAATCAGCCGGCGGCGCTTGACCTGCCGCTTGTGCTCCTTCTGCATATTGCCGGTTTTGATTTCTCGATAGATAATTTCGGCTAGTAGCGAGCCCAGCTCGCCCAAACTTCTGATAAAGAACTTCATGTCCTTGGCGATAGTGGAAAACACAATCGAAGACAAATTAAGGTCTTTTACATGAACAAAGACATCAAGCACGGACTTCACTTGGGTCTTAAGCTGCACAGGCCGCCAGGTACTAAGCATACTTTTGCGCCTTTCTTCCTCGTCATCCAATCTATTCTTAGTAGTTTCCATGCTTTTTTTCGTAACCCGACCTATATCTGTGATCGGTGTATCGTTTTGATTTCTTTTGGCATTTAAATCGATCAAACCTTATTTATATCTCCTGAATCAGCCTCCTTTAGGACAAGTGCCTTTGGCCGTGTCCAGTAGAAACATCGCTTATGAAACTATGCTCGATCAGCATTATAAATACTTATCTAACCTGATGCCAATCCAATGAAGTTTACCCTGTTGCTTGTTATTGTGGCTATACTATTTACATATCTTGCTCACGCCGGAGTTTGTCCGGAAAGTAAATATCCTTCGCCCCAGAATCAGACCGACAACCGTCCTGCCGTTCCAAATAACGGGACAGCCCAGCCACAGACTCCAGATTCTAATCCAAACAGCAACCCGCCTCCCGCTGCTGTTGCCAGTACTTGTCTTGATCTTGATAAATCTGATGAATCTTTTATTCAATCAAAACAGACAAACCAGTATCTCGCTGCTTGTGAAAAATGCGCCACGTCTACGCATAGTGTTATGGCTATGATATTCGCCAACCGTGGCGACGAACCTGCCCGTTGGAGATTTGAAAGTATTGGGGGGAAATGTGCCATTAAAAATCTCCACTACAATATGTATCTCAGCAATTGTCCTGATTGTATATCTGGCAGTGGCAGTGGCTTTGGCTTGCCTGCAGTTGCTCTTTACAAAACCTCCGTGGACAAAAGCTCACTTGATGAACTTTGGGAAGTTATACGGGATGATCAAGGACATTTCACTTTCCGAGTTGCCTCTTCGGGGCAGTACTTATCTCTCTGTCAGGGATGCTTCCCCGGCAAAAACACTATGCGAACACAAGCAACCCTTCAAACAAGACCGTCTGGTACCTCTTCTGCGCCCTCATATATGCTTTGGGATGTAGTTACTTCTACAGCCGCGCCTGCTGCCTAAGCCAATAAATATATCAGTTTATGCATCTCATCTTACTCAATACTAGTTCAACGGTGTTTCACAATGCCCAATGCCAACATCAATTATGAAACACTGTTCGATCGGCATCATAAATAAGATACTACCAACTCATCACCCGATGAGACTTTCTCAACAGATCGCTACTTTAATTGTATTATCTATTCGCATGGCGCGCGCTGAAATTTGCACAGATAGCAAATACTCTGTCCTCCAAGGCCGTATCGGCAATGTCTCAGTCGATCCAAACACCTTTCGTTTGTGGCCAAAGAACGAACTAGGTCAGCAAAGTGCCCACACAATTTGTCCCACCGGATATTCGTGTGACAACGGCCAGTTGTCGCTTCTTTTAGAATCCAAAGCAACGCCCGTGGCCCAAAACCCCATTGATGGCAGAATCCAGACCTATAAGTACAAACCCAATGCTAACATTCCCCCAACTATCGATAACAGTACCTGCCTTGGTCTTGATAGATTTAGCGAAGTCTTTCTGCAATCAAAACACACAGACCAGTATCTCGCTGCTTGTGAAAACTGTGCCACGTCTAAGCATGGTGTTATGGCTATGATATTCGCCAGTTACGGCGACGAACATGCCCGTTGGAGATTTGAAAGTATTGCCGGAAAGTGTGCCATTAAAAACCTCCACTACAATATGTATCTCAGCAATTGCCCTGATTGTATATCTGGCAGTGGCCGTGGCTTTGGCTTGCCTGCCGTTGCTCTTTACAAAACGGCTGTGGACAAAGGCTCACTTGATGAGCTCTGGGAAGTTATACGGAATGAGTTGGACCAATTTTATTTCCGAGTCGCCTCTTCTGGGCAGTACTTATCTCTCTGCCTGGGTTGCTTCCCTGGTAAAAACAGCATGCGAACACAAGGAACCCTCCAATCACGGCCTGATGAGACCGCCCCTGTTCCCTCGTATATGCTTTGGAGTGTAATTACCCCCACAGATGAACGTTCAGCCTAACCCAATAAATATATCGGCTTAGTACCTTTTGTCTTTTGCCCTGCCCACAATACTAACCCAATACCAGCACTGTTTCACGGCACCCAATACTAACATCAGCTATGAAACACTGTTCGATCAGCATCATAAATAAGATACTACCAACTCTCCACCTGATGAGATTATCAAAAACCCTATCTGTACTTCTTGCCGTTTATACTGGACATGCTCGCTCGGAAGTCTGCCATATTAATGTTCAAAGCCGTCTTCAGGGCGCACCCGATGCTCCTAAATTCACCAAGTACCGCCTTTATCAGTTCTGGCCTAGAGATAGCTTGAGCCAGGTTAGAAACACTCCTAACTGCCCCATAGGTGCTACCTGTCTGCCTAATTACATCATGCCTGCCAGTTCATTTGATAAACAAACTCCCAATATTAGCCCAATAGCTCCGCCGACCGAGCAGACTCAACTCAAAAACATCAAGTTCCATCCAAAGGTGTACGTTCGAACTGCAACTGCCGGCAGCGGCTGTCTCGGGCTGGAAGATCTTGGCCCAATTAGTTTTATGTCCGAGCAAACCCGGCTCTACCTTGCCGCCTGTAAGGACTGCACCGATGCCAGCTATCGGACGATGGCCATGGTTTACTCCTCCTTTGACAACCCCAAGGCAAAATGGATACTCACTAATGTCAACGGCAAGTGTGCCATCAAAAACGTGGCATCTAATATGTTCCTCAGTCGTTGTAAAAACTGCACTGCCAACCTCGGGCCTGATCTGATCTCTATTTCGGCCAAGCAAATCATTGATGACTCCCCCAACGAACTATGGAATGTTATTCAGAAAGAAGATAACACATATATGTTCCAGTCTGCTGCCACTGGCGAGTACCTAGCTGTCTGTGAAACCTGTCTTGCTCACAACACTACAATCTCCTCTCCTGCTGCCCTTTTCTCGATCGAATCAAATGAGCCTGCTTATGTGACCTGGGCTGTCCACACCAAGAAGGATACCTCCACACTTCCCGTGCCATCCTAATGCCTCCAGCAGCTTGCCTTGGCCTTCTATTCATAAATGCAATAAACCACTACTGTTGAGTTGAGTTGGGTTATGTTGAGTTAGTATTGTGTTGTGTTGAGTTGTGTTGAGTTGAGCTATGTTGTAACGTAATGTGTTGGTATTGGCGCTGGCATTAGTATTGGCAATGGGATCAATTTATTGAACAAGAGGCAATGTGTTTTGCCATAGTATTGGGTTAGTATTTATGTTTAAGTTGGACTGGGTTTAGTTTAATGCTAAGTTGGCATTAGATTGAATTAGTTTAATTCACTAGCTTCAATAGCAGCTGATGTCCAAGCCAATACCAGCACTGTTTCACGGCACCCAATACTAGCATCAGCTATGAAACACTGTTCGATCAGCATCATAAATAAGATACTACCAACTCTCCATCTGATGAGATTACCAAAAGCCCTATCTGTACTTCTTGCTGTCTATACTAGTCCCCTGAAGGCCGCGGTATGTCCCCCTACTAAATACAGCATTCTTCAAGCCGACGCAAACCATGCCTATGTTGATCCAAATACCATCATGGGCCTGAACAAGAGTTCGGTGTGTCCACCCGGATATACCTGTGTCCCCAACTATTTTATGAACTCGCCCCAATCTATGTGGCCGCCAAAGCTGCTTAAGTACACCAAAGGCCCGCTCGCCAAACTCCATTCCGACCAGATATACATCCCGACTACGGCCCCTGGTGGTGGATGCCATGGTCTAGAAGAGTTAGATGAAATCGCACTCAGGTCGCCCCACAACGGCCTCTATCTAGCCGCCTGCAAGGACTGTCTTACGACAACCAAGAAGATCCCCGCAATGATTTACAGCTCGTTTAGCAACCCTCTTGCCAAATGGAAGCTCTCGGTAATCGACGGCAAGTGTGCTATCAAAAACATCTACTATGACTTGTTCCTAACCACGTGTCCTGATTGTGCTCCCGCTCGTAAACCAACTATCCTGGCTGTTGACGCCAAAAGCATTGACGAAAACCAAAACACCGAGCTCTGGGAAGTAGCCCGCAAACTCGACGGCAACTTTACATTCAAATCTGCCGCCACCGGTGAGTACCTAACCAACTGTGTGGGATGTTTCGCTGACCTCACAACGAAACCCATTTTGACAGTCTACAGCACCGCCCGCGACCAAAGCTTTGTAGCCTGGGCCGCCGAAATCAAACAATCCGATGCGCTTATTTAATCCAACTCTAAACTACTATCTGTCAATCGACCTATAATTCAATAAAAGATCACAAATACCTTAGGGTCAGTAGTGAATTCTAACTACATGAAGATTACATTGCTTTTATTATTTACCCACCGCCCACTACCTCAGCACTAGTCTAACTATCTCAACTTAATACTAAACCAACCTAATATCAACTTAATACAAATATTCAAAACTTCACAAAGGCTTACAATTTCAAAAACATTTCAGAGTGCTTTCTTTAAATTTAGTTGGGTTTAGTTTAGTATTAAGTTAGTATTGGGTTAGTATTATGTTGTATTTGGATCACTTTAGTCATATGTTGAGTTTATTGTTAAGTTGTGTTTATTAAGTTGAGTATGGGTTAGTATTAGAATAAACAAGGAGAGTTGTGTGATAATCAGATCACTTTGCTGTAATAGCTTTCAATTTATCACGGCCTTAGACTCGTTGTTGAGATGACATAATCCCGATATTGCGTAGGCAAAGACAGGCAAGAGTAAGTTGTCATTAACTCCGGCATAGTACTCAGCAGCCCCGACCAGTAAATAAAGACCCAGGGGGTAATTAATCCCCAATAGTTGCAACACAACCATAGCTACCATTCCGCCAGCCAAACTTCCCACCAGGCTCTTATGACCGCCCTTCTCACGAGGAAAGAAAGAGGCAACACTGTCCACAATGCAGACCGATGACAAACAGAACCAAGCCCGCTCGTGGTTTGACACGCCCTCGACGACAAAAAAGCAGCTGCACAACAGCCACACATGGGACAGCACTTGTTTCTGGTCCTTTTCTGAGACAAAACCAGCGACCAAGTTCCATCTATCTATTTCACAACGGAAGATCCGGCTGTAGACCGCATTAATGCGCGGCAGCAAAGAGAAGAGAGTCATTGCCCCAACCATCTGTACACGAGCCACTTCTAAAGGCACCACCCAAAGGTAAGCGAATATCGCAAAGTGAAACATCTTTCTTTTGAAGTTAGTCGAGGCCCCAGCCCAAATAAGACCGGCCTGAATGCCACCAACTACTCCAACCAACAAAAAACTCCTTAGCCACCACATCCAAAGCCAGCGATTCTGCAACACCACCACTAGTTCTGTTAAAGCATAAACAGCCACGGGCCGTAAACAAACTCCCAAGCTCACCTCCCTAATTCGAGCGGCCAGGCCAAAAAAGACAACCTCTGATATCACCGATCGGCGCAACATGTAGTGCAACCCACCCCAACAGACAATCATTTCGGTATCAATCTCTTCCTTCTCCAAGTACAACCAGGCCATTATGCCCGCCACAACAACCAACTCCAGCCCACCTAGTTCATGACTCAGCACGCCTCCAACAATTTCTAACAATGCCACACTACGAACAAACCGATCAAAAACATCAGTTTTAGCCCGGCCCAGCCTAGCATTTGTTTGACCAATCAAAGGCCAATCTGCCCACCAATCTTTGCTTTGAAACGTCGGCACCATTCTTCTTTCCAGAAACAGACAGGAAAACATGGAAATATATAGGCAAGTCAAGATGCCACTGTGTATCGGGGCCTTCTTTTTCATCTCCCTAGGAATGAACTTCTTCTCGTCTTTCCTTCTATCCAAGGACGACTATGATTTTAGGTTTCCGCTCTTTCTGGGCTCCATTAGCCATCTTATTCATTTCGGGCTTTCCGTGATCGGAATTGTGATGTTTAGAAGTCCCCCCTGCGAACAAACGCTCCATTCGCCAATTCCCTACCTTATTAGGAAAAAGATAGGGTCGCCGATCGACAAAACCCCAAGTTTATCTCGCAAGAGAACCCAAGCACCAGTTTCGCAGATTTGGCGCCAGCCCGATGAGCAGGAGTCCGGGCGCACTTTTAGAATTCTTCAGATTTGTTATGCCTTCCTGCTTAATATTGGTGCTTTTGATGCCTGGATCATTACTTGCGCTCTGTGCGGGTCGATTGATAACGGATTTTCGGGGTATGCCCTTCGCTCGGTTCCGCTAGCCTTTTACACAATGCTTAAATCCAGCTCGCCTATCTTTATTTTGATTTCACGGTTTCTCTTCCAATTAGAAGAGCCCTCCATGCCATTAATTGGCACTATTTGTATCATTGCCACGGGTGTGTTTTTCGCCTCTAAGAGCGACACTGTGGTCTATCGGTTTCAGCCCATCTGTATGATTCTTAGCTCCTGTGTAATGGGAGGGTTTCGTGGGGCTTTTTTAGAGTACTTTATCAAACAGAACATCACCAGACACAATAATATACTATACAATCTCTGTGTGGTTTCTCTTCTTATGGGAATCTTCCTTTGTACGGGCTTCTTTCTCTTTGAAGGCGTTCACAACCTACTTCAGCTTAAGGCATTTGCCACCCTCTCCTCCACTTTGAACTGTCTGTTTTTAATCTTCGGCAGCAGCGTAGTGTCGTTCTTTCTTTGTGTTACCGAGTACACATTAATTTCAAAGACCAGTGTCATTACTCTCTCCGTTATCGGCATTGTCAAAGAGCTAATAATCATTGCCATTTCCGTTTGCCAGGGCAAGATTCACCTGTCAGTCGCCAACATGTGTGGTCTCTGCACCGCCTCAGTTGGAGTGTTGCTATTCTCATGCCGCCATCTCTTCACAACCGGCAACCCATTAATGCCTCCCCCTCTTCTCCAAGCCGATACTTCTGCCGCCGAAAAAACGCCCATCGAGTACAACAGCTCCTCCACCACCACAGCCGATCTCAGTACAATCTCTCAACCTGCATAGACTAATAAAGACACATTTATTATCGTATTGAGTTGGGTTGAGTTTAGTATTGAGTTGAGTTGGGTTTTGTATTACGATAGGTCAAGTTTCGTATTGAGTTGAGTAAATCTAATCTAAATCAAACCAAACCCAATACTAAACTTAACCCAACTCAATACTAACATAATACTAACACAACCCAACCCAATACTAACCCAACCTAACACAACCCAACACCAACACAACCCAACCCAAATCAAAACCAAAATCAAAATCACAAACAACTTAATTTAATTCAACTTAATCCAAACAAAACGAAATACTAGACTCGCACATACCACAACTCAATCTGCCGAATATTAAATGCCTCGTTATGGCTCAGCCGCTCATTGCGAAAAGTATCCACCGGATGCGACTCGCCCCGTAATAAGTCCTTAGCCAGTACTAGCCCAAAACGAGCATCACTACACCCAAAGGCCAGGTACTCTTTCTTTGCCATAATGTAAAAGCTACTCTCACCCCCACCATGCACTCCATAAAGATTAAGAATAGAGTTATAGGCCCCTTGTGTACACTGTTTTCGGGGTGTACTAAAACGAAAGAGAGTCGTATTACTCGTTCCAAAAGACGTCCGCTGGTATTCCAACCGATTGGTAAAAATAGCCCCAAAAACACGTTGATACTCCTCACTAGAAGAATCGTCCTCCATTATCGCCAAGATAAAGCACCCACCCGACGGTCCTTCCTGTGCTTTGCTCATTAAAGTCGAAAGAGCAAACCCATGGAGTTCAGAAGAATAAACCAAAGAAAGACCACTAGCACCCGGCAGCAAGATATCAATAAGAGTTGTTTTAAGCTTCTGAACCATACATTGAGTCATCACAAAGGAAGAGATCTCCTGCGCACCGTACATTAAATACTCTTTTGGCAAGCTATAACTATTCTCTAAACTCCCAGATTGAACTCTAAGTATATCTACCAATGAGTCTGTCTCTTCTTTCTGGTTCTCTTTAAAGCCCGCCATGATTTTGCAAAACCACGAAATACTATTGAGTTGAGTTAGTATTAGTTTGAGTTTAGTTAAGTTTAGTTAAGTTAAGTTGTGTATTATGTTAGGTTCAGTTGTGTTAGATTATGTTGTGTATTGAATTAGGTTAAGTTAAGTTGGGTTAGATTGAGTTGAGTTAAGTTAAGTTAAGATAGGACAGAACAACCAAAGTACTAGCCAAATGCCAATCTAATATGACTCAAACTAACACACAACTTAACTAAACACAACTTAATGCAAACTTAACATAACTTAATACAAACTTAACTCAGTACATAACTCAACCCAACACAACCCAACTAAACACAACATAATACTAAACTTAACTCAATACATAACTCAACTAAACACAACTTAATACATAACTTAACTCAACTCAATCTAAGGCGATTAAAAGATCAAAACAAACTCCATATGTTATTAGATGTTATTAAATTGAGATAATGATACTAACCCAAGGAGATAGTAATATTAAACGAAATAATTAAGCCGGCAGAGGGAAATGAGTCTGGCGATGATTAACAGCCTTCAAGAAGACTGAAGTCTTAAGTACGGCAGGGTCACCACCTAGTTCTTTAATGAACTCAGCTGCCGGAACCCGAATACCTAATGTAGCCGTCCCAATCTCACCAACCAGGGCCACAATCACCAAGTACTCAGTTGAACTAATCTCCAAAACATCCCCCTGATTCGTACTCCACATAATATTCGTCTCATCAGCAACATACTGCGGAGCCAATCTTAAAGTCAGCAACGCAAATACATCACAAACTGAAGCATAAGCAGCATCAGGCAAAGTACCAGCAAAGAACTTATCTATTTTAGTCTGAAGTACTCCTTCACCCTTCAAAGTATTCACACTTCCTTCTTTAAAGAAAGTCTGAGCAATTACTTGAATAGTTTGATTAGGAAGATTTTGAAATCCAAATAAAAACGGATTTTTGATCTTATCATGTAACAATCGGTCCATTAAAAGGTCATACTCCTTAGGAGCATTAGCAAACGACTTATTATCATCACGATCACTACTACCCAACCCAAAATTCATCTTAGGCGGCAGTAACATTGAAAGGTCTTTGTCCACCACCAGACGCGGGACATTTTCATGCAGATTCACTTCATGAAGCATATGTTTAATGTACTCCTTCTTAAACAACCCAACAATCTCACTCTTCACAATCTCACGTCTAGTATGTAACATTCGAATATTATAAATCACCGCCACAAAAGCAGCCACAATCAAGACGGCATGAAGAAGAAATCCATTCTTTCGGACAAACCACCACCCATTCTTGTCTGTCATTTTCCGACAAAGAAAATTTGCCCCTATATGTTCCCCCTCCTATCTCTCCCATCTCCTTTCTACTTATTTCATGTCCAATTTAAACCCCCCACCAACCCCATTACTTCAATCTAAATCAAAATCTTACTTCAATCCTATCAAATTTCGTTAAAATTAATATCCAGAAAGAACTTACTCAACTCAACTTAATACTTACCTTAATACCTACTCAATACTTACTCCACTTACCTTAACTGAACCCCATAGAGTTAACATCAAGTTGAGTTAGATTGAGTTAGATTGAGTTGGGTTTACATGGGCTTAAGATAATATTAAGATAGGATTCGGGTAGGATGGGTTGGGTTGGGATAAGATTAAGTTATGTTATGTGAGTTATGTTATATTTACTCAAACTCTTAGTATTTACTCAACTCATCCTCTTATATCCTGCTAATACTAAACTTAACCCAACTCAACTTAACCCACCTCAATCCAATACTAAACTTAACACAATCCAATACTTAACTCAACTTAATCCAATCCTAACTCAACTTAACACAACTTAATCCAATACTAAACCAATATAAACCCACTCAACCCAACTTAACTTAACTCAACACAACATACTAAATCTAACTCATTTAAGCGTTTATTATGATCTTTATGAGGCAGAAACGGCCTTAAGCGGTAGTTTCTACGGCTGGACTAGGAGCAACAGCTCGTCCGGTAAGAGCTTTACGCACTAACTTCTTCTTCCCCTTTAGATGGATCACGAAGTTCTGTAAGTCAGCTTCAATCCCTGGATAAGGATCGACTACTTTACGCGTAAACAGTAAATTAACCAAGGCACTTCTTGATTTAGTCACATACTCCTGACCAATATTACGAGATAAGAGTCTAGCCATTGAATATCCAATCAGTAAACCCAAGCGGTCAATCCTCTCCTCATATACGTTCTGTCGCGTAGCTAAATCAGCCTCAATTGGTAATTCAAGGCCAAAGTCATAATCTAACGTTAAAAAGTAAAATAGATAAGCCATACGTGAATAAGCAAAGGCCGAATAGACCGAAAGACTTCCATAAGTCATATCCTTAAAGAACTTCTCAGCCAAAGCCCTTTCTGGACTCTTCCCACCCGATAAGTTTAAGCCCTTGAATAACATATCCACATCAGTTCCAGTCAAGTGAGATCGTACTTCCTCAGCCATTAACTTCTTATCTACGCCATTAACAAGCTCCAGAAGTTCAGTTACTAAGTCAACAGCCCTTGCAGCCGGTCTACCTTTATCATCATACCTATAAGAATCAACTTCAGAAGAAAAGAGACCAAAAATATCAATAAGCTTATCAGCGATATCAGCAAAAGCTTCTTGCCGATTAGGAATACTCCTTCCAAACTCTTCTAAAGCCGATTGAATCTCAGCTTCAGTTCTTGGCCCAAAAAAGATAGGAGCAGTTCTAGTAGCTAAGAACTTCTTAAGTTCATCCCTACTTACATCAGCAGGTCTTGTTTTTAACAACTCATCTACTACTGCCTTATCTTTGATAGCTAAAGTAATATCACTACGAACAAAAACACGACGAAGAGCTAGATATAAATCTAGTTGTGGAAAAGACATACTTAAATAGTTAACACTATCTCTAGGGAAGTGTTCTGGGTAATGATCATCTAAATGCTTTTTTAAGTAGGCAGCATTCTTAGCTTGAGCTGGTCCTCCTGGGAATTTCTCTACCTTCTTAGCGAACATACAGTCATTAGCTCCTTCCTTAACCCAGGAATAGAACATAGAACCCATGGCTTCGGGATAAACTCGATTAAATTTAAACTCATAAACGGCCCAAATATAAGCAGCTATACCAACTACTACTGCAGTCATTATGATGTAAAGTCCATACTTATTAGAAGACTTGACTGGACGAGTTGAATTAGTCTTAGTTTGCTCAGTTTGCATGGTGCTGCAAAAAAAAGTCTATTTTATTATCTCCTGTAGCTATCTGATTGGTTGAGTTTGAGTTTGAGTTGAGTTTAGTATTGGGTTTGGGTTGGAGTTGGAAGGGGTTGTGTTGTTTATTGGTTGGATTGAGTTGGGTTTGTTTGTTGGTTTAGATTGTTTATTGGTTGCTATGTGTTATGTTGTGATTGAGTTGAGTTTGATTGAGTGGTGATATTAAGATGATATTAAGATGGTATTAAGTTGATATTAAGATGGTATTAAGTTGAGTTACGATAGTGAGTTAGCTTGTTTTAGTGTAGTACAGTGTTAGTATTGATTGGTTTGGTGTAGTACTGTGGTTGCATTGATTGGTTGAGTGATTGGGCTGTCATATTATGTCATGTTATGTCAAGTTGAGTTAGTATTGGGTTGAGTTAGTATTGAGTTAGTATTGAGTTATACCAACCTAGTAGTAAACTTAACATAACATAATACAATAAAAGGACTAAGCAATAGTCTTGCGATTTTGATCTTTACTTTACTTTAATCAACTAGGTACTTCACTTTACATTACTTAAACTTAACTAGGTACTCCACTTTACTCAACTAACACTTTACATTACTTAAACTAACACTTAACTTTACTCCACTCAAACTCTACTTTACTCTACTTAACTCCACTTAAACTAACACTTTACTCAAACTCAACTTGAGTATTAGACGAAGTCGAAGAGAGTGCGGTTGTGGCGGGGACGGGGTGGGGAGGATTTGAGGTCGGCTTGGAGTTGTGGGAGACTGGCGAAAGTTTGCATGCGCTGGAGGAAATGGGGGGAGACTTGGACTGGTTGGTCGGCAGCTTTGATTTGGTCAGTAAGTTGGGTAAGGGAAGTTTGGATGGTATCTAGACCGGGGAGATTCTCTTTGCCGTGTTTTTGGAGGAGTGTTTGGAGGGTGGCTTGAATGTCCTGGAGATGGTCAAATTGTTCGTTGCGAGTGATGGCATTGTTGATGGCTTGAAGAGATTCAGATGGGTTGGTGTTGGGTTGAGATGGGGTTGTGGTGGGGTGAGATGAGTTGGTGTTTGATTGAGGTGGGGTTGTGTTGGTGTTGGGTTGGGTGGAGTCATGTGAACTATTAGATGTGTTTGCTGCATTTGTTGCATTTGCTGCATTTGTTGCATCTGTTGTGCTGTCTGTATTAGATGATGTGTTCGTGGTTGGGGCTGGAGTTGGCTCGGACATGGTTGGAGAGGAATGGGGTGATATATAAGCTTCGCTGATTTGGTGCTTTATTGGATCTTTTTGGGTATCACTTAGATATGGACGAATTAGCGCAAAGAAAGGAGATAGACCAAAAACATGTTAGAATTGATAAGGTTAAGTGGATACTGGGTTATGTCGGGTGCCAGGGGTTTAAGTACTTGGAGTACTTGGCGCTTGGAATTCTCTTTTGCCTCTGGGAGTACACCCATGGACACCTAGATTCTTTGGGCTTAGCTAGTCCTACTAATAGCACGAACACTACTACAGATGCAGTATTTAGCCGTATGCAGCCTTATCCACTCGGACAAAGGGGAGGATTGGCTCTGGACCCTAGTCCGAGTACCTCTCCTAGTCCATCTACTCCATCAATTGTTGCACCGATGATTTATCCCTGGCTGGGATTAATAGCTGTTCAGATAGCAATTCTACTGGAAAACCTCATGGGTGAATTAATCGTTGTATTAGGGTTTTGCTGGCTCTACGGCACAACAATTATTGAGTACTTAAGTGAAGTCCTGCTTAAAATGCACCTCTTCATTTGCTTGGGTATCTTTGCCCTTATGGCCTCTTACTTTTTACTTGATCTAATCATTGGTATCTATCCTTCTTTATTACTCCCTAAAACACCCATTATTCTGATGGCCGATCCGGAAGAAGGTGAACTAACTATGATTCCTACGGCAGCTGCTGGTGATAAGACCAAAACGTTCGGTCGATGTATAGGAGCAGCTACACTCTTAACCAGTCGTATTCTTTTCTCTCTAGTTATCTTAGGAGTCAAGGTTTTTGCTTTGATCTTGATTGTGATTTCTCTTCTTGGTGGTTTTAACATCTACAGTGGTCTAATTGGGTTTTACATTCTTTCTTTAACTGCTCAGGTCTATACTTACCTCGATGCTAAATTTAACCCCAATCTCAGTCGATCCTTTCCCTATACTCTCTTGTTTCTTCATTTACTCTTTTACATTGGTGTCCTCAATTCTTCCCATTCCTACCAGCTTCTCCAATATTGCTCCGGACAAGCTCCTACTTCCTGGGCCTACACAATCTGCGATTACATGAATACCTTCAATGCCTTTAAGCCACTAAATACCCTAGCTAGCGTCTTTGGCTCCGAGTAATCAGCCTATTTTTTTCTGCGCCAAGATGCATTCACACGACGAGCCAGAGTCGCTATCTCTAGATCTCAAGGATGTTTTAGCTGAAATTAGCCAACTTGAAGAACACATCCCAGTGTTTATCAATGAAGAGTCCGACATTCTTGGTCCCGACCCTAAAATACTCCAAATGAGTCTACCGTTAAATCCTAAAGAGCGCAACTGTCTCTCCTACCCCATCTTAACTCCACCTAAACGATCTAAAATCCAAGTAACTACACAAACCACTACCTATACTTCCGTTCATCGCCACAGCCTCCGCAGTAGTCCCTTCCTCTCCGATGGCGAAGAGATGGAAGAAATCGGTGAAGAAGAAGCCGTTTGGGATACCAAAGCTGAGTGCATGGGACACTTTGATGACGAGGGTAACTTTTTGCTTAGACAGGAACAGCAGGAGACAAGCGAGCCTCTAGGACGCTTTGATGATTCAGGCAACTTTGTTATGGACCAGAGTCAAAGCGAGTCTTCAACCAGTGAAGATTGGATTGTGGTAGAGAAGAGTAAAACCAAAAAGAAGAGACAGTCCCATCCACCAGCAGAGGCGCAAAGTTACACGGCCGTTCAAAATATGCCCAAACCCGCTCCACGTAGCACCAGCCAAAGATCCATTCCAGTTTCTGATAGTCTCAGTGATACAGATAGTGAAGGGTTTACCGTAGTAAAGGATAAGAAAAGCAAATCAGCTCGTTTCAAGAAATAAAGGTTAAGTTAAGTTTGAGTTAGTTTGTGTTTGTATTGAGTTATGTTGATATTGGGTTAAGTTAAGTTGATATTGGGTTAAGTTTGGATTGTGTTAAGTTATGTTGATATTGAATTAGTATTTGATTGGTGTTTGAATTGAGTTGATATTTGAATTGAATTAGTATTTGAGGTGATATTGTACTAGTATTGAGTTTAGGTTTATGTTATACTAACCCAATACTAGTCCAATTTAGTGATTACAGAATTAGATTAAGATAAGAAAAGTATGTAGTTGATATAACTTAATTATAACTTAACTCAACTTAATCATAACTCAACTTAACCCAATCACAACTTAACCCAATACTAACACAATCTTAACTTAACCCAATACTAACACAATCCAAACACAATACCAACTTAATTGTAAATTACCATAAAAGGAAATTTATATATTCACTAACTTAACTCAATTCAAACAAATCCTATTTTCTCTTTTATTTTGACCCCCTGTCGTGTCTGTAGTCTTCTTTATGTTAAACTCTTAGATATCTGCTACGGTTAGGAGATACATATATGTCTCAATGAGGAAACACGCGTTTGTCTGATTAAATGATGAGAACAAATGCTACCTTAATCATTTCTGAGAGATTTAGATCTTAAGTACTTGTTAGATTGAGGTGGGATGTGGTGAGATAGTGTGGGGTGAAGTGAGATTGATTTGCGATGTGATGGGATGGGATAAGAAGAGTAAGAGATGTGTATATGATGTATAGTATAATCTGTTTTCCTTTTTTATTTCCCATGGCTAATCTTACTCCAATAGAACATGCTGATTTGCTTTGGAATCGTTTAAGTGCTATTTTGGGTATTTTGGTTAGTGAAGGGACAACTGCGAAAGAAGTGATTTTAGCACTTAACTCGGAGCTGGTTTTGGCCCAAATAGAAGAACTTGGGCTTGTTAAAGAAGCGTTTAGTGTTGGGTACTCAAAACGAAGACGAGATAGAGTGATTTATTCTGTTATGATTACTGGTGTTTATAGTAAATTGGCTGAAACTAAACCGGATAGAGTCTTTGAGTTACTGGAGTACTTGGAAGGTCGAGTTCGAGATGTAGAGAAACAAGTGCGCTCTAATTGTATTGCCTTTATTCTCGGCCATGCTGATTTGTTTAATTCCAGTGAAAGTAGAATGCTTATTAAAGAAATGATCGGCATACTTAAGAACAAAAGCAAGTCAATTAGACATTCTCATTTCCGATTGTTAACGGCTAATTTACCAGCCTTTTTATCTTTACTATCTAAAACAGATGGTGAATTGTTATTTAGAACTTTATTGCCTGTGATTGCTAATGCAATGGTTTCTGAACCTAAGGATACTTACTTAATCAAACGAGTCTTTGAAATAGCTTGTGCCCTAAGAACCCAGCAAAAAGTAAGACCCAATCTTTTTGCAACTCTACTTACTACCTACTCTCTTTCTGAAATTGAGTCTAATTCAGTCAATCGCTATCTTACTCGGGTTTTCTTAAAGAGTATGTCCAGTAAAGACTTCTTACTAGAATTACACCACTCTAGTCATCCTGATCTCTTTAAAGAGAACCTTCTCTACTTACTGGCTTGGAATATGCGAACACGTAAAGGTCTTTATCTTCTTTACTTTAACTTAGCCACAGAAAAGACTCTACCATTACGGCCTCAGATAGCCGTAACCCAAATGATTCTTCAAAGTCCTCTTCTAATTGACCGTAGTCCTTTCCTTCTTTGGATTGATGAATTACTAGCTCAGTACCAAACTCTTTCACCAACCGAACTAACTGCTCTCTACCAACTATACTTAGGTCAAGTAGAAACCGGCCACATACCTTTTACCCAATTCTCCACTCATACTCAGCACATCTATGAATCAGCCCCTTCACCACTTAAAGAACAAATCCTCCAATTTATTGCCCACCAGCTTAAGACCCAATTTACTCCTAAACACTCCAATCAAAACATTCCTCCCCACCAATCTATTTCACAGTATGAAATCTTTGACTTCCTAGCCAAAACAATCGCCCAATACTCACTTGTCCATGAACCTACCTGCGATCTTTTCCTACAGTACTTAAACCCTTTTATCCATCTACCCAATCATATCCCACAAATCACCAATCTATCCAACCGACTTAATTTCAGTCTTATCTTCTGGTATGTAGCCTCCCTGGCCAAAGATCTCACTACCCCCAACCCCGAGTTTCTTAACTCCCTTCAAATTTCACCTCTTGATCATCCCGATCTTAATTTAGCCACTCTTTTCTTTATCTTTGCCCAAACCAATCATTCCACTACCTTAGCCCAACTCATTCCTACCGTTCGTGAACGCATTACCCAGTACTTCTCCCAAACTCTCGATAAGATCCGCCAAACCCGAGACTATCTCCTTACTAACTACACTCCAATTGAGCAGGCTCTAACTACCTTCATAACTACTCTTATTGAAACTCATCCCGATTCCCACCCAAACCCCAATCCAGCCACAATTCTTGCCCTCCAGAATGCCCCCCAACTCACTATCCTCACTCTTTACCTTCTCAACTCCAACCATTCCATCACCAATCTCACCCGTTTTCTCAACCACTACCAACTCCAACCAATCCCACCATCCACCACCGAAACCACCCGTCTCACTGAGTACGGCATTCTCAACCCCAAAACCCAAAAGAAGTACCAAGATCTCTTCAAATCTCCACCTAATACCACCCCATCTAAATCCTCACCCAATACCACCCCATCTAACCCCAAACCCGACTCTGAACTCTCCTCCGTAACCGAACTCTCCTTCTCCACCAATCTAGACACCAATACCATCGAAGGCATCTCCCGTCTTGAAGATTAACTTACCACAATCATAACTCAACTTAATCTAATCTAATCAACTCTTAACCAAATACCAATACAAATACCAACTCAACTTAATCTAACACAATCTAAACCAAATACTAACACAACTTAACACAATACTAACTTAACTCAACTCACCCCAATCTAACCAACTGTTCTATTTATTCTTAACAGCATAGATCTCCTAGTATTAGTAAGCCGCCTTGACTTTAAAACGACAACCAGCGGTTAGTCTAGCCTTCCCACCAGTCGGCTTAGCAAGTACTGTGTTACAGTTCTTGCATGAGATGGCTAACTGTGAATGAGAGAAAATAATAGTCTTCTTCTCACAAACTCCACACTTTACATCTAAGAAGCACGAATTAGGTGTTGGTATTAGCCTCTTCTTCTTACAAGTTCTTTTAATAGTCTCAGGGGACGGATACTTCAATGACTCCATTTACAGGGAGTAAAATAAAAAAGAAGTAATATTATGACGTGGCATAGATTGATTGTTGAGTTTATTATGAAATTAGAGATAAATAGTGTTGATTTGGATTGTTAGATGATTTGTTGTAATAGTATATTGTTTTTGATTAGTATTAGGTTGGGTTTAGTATTGGATTGAGTTTAGTATTGGATTGAGATAATGATAAGTTGAAAATTGTAAATTTAGCTATTGATGTTGGAATTTGGAATTTGGAATTTTCACATCAAAGTTGACATTTGGTTCTGTCAGTTGTAGATTTCAAAAACTTAACTTAACTTAAAGATTAGGGTGGAGTAATGTGTAGTAATGTGAAGTTTAGTAAAGTAATGTGAAGTGTATTTGTTTATTATTAAGTTAATCTAAATATATCGGTTGGTATTGAGTTGGAATAGGTTAGACTGGTATGGTGTAATTGGATGTAATTGGGTTAGTATTGGGTGTAATTGGGTGTAGTGTAGTGTAGTATTGAGTTAGTATTGAGTATGTTGAGTATGTTGAGTAAATAAATTGGATTAGTTAGAGTGGTGTTGGGTTGGTTTGAGTTGGTATTGGTAGATGGGATTGAGTTGGTTTAGGGTTTGGGTTGGTTTAGGGTTGGTGTTGATATTGGGTTGAATTAGTTCCAGGCAATGGTGAGTTGGATGGTGGTGGAGTCCTTTTGGATTTTGACAGTTCTGAGAAGAAGGCGGTGGAAAATGGCACGAGTGAAGCCGGTGGTGAGATTAAGGAAAGAATCGGGGTGGCAATGAGTTAGGAGTGGAGAGGACTGGAAATTTACTTGGGTTTCTTGTTTGTCTGAATTGGGGTTAAGTTGGGGAGTACTGGCAAAATAGTTGGGAAAGATCTTGAGAAAGAGAGTAAAGATAAGATCGGGAGTAGATTCTTTGCCGGTCGCCCATTGGTGAAAGACGGCTTCTTCAGCAATCTTTTCACCAAGCATATAACCGAACTCTTCACAATCTTTGGTTTGAGAATTGATCTCTTGACAGATGCAGCCTAGAACCAAGGCTAAGGTGTTTGTAGTAGCAAGATGGCCAGGGGGCATTTAAATGAAACAAGAAAAATTCAATAATGCCCTTTCGCATGGGATTGAAGTTGTGTTTGGTTACGGGGTGTCTAAATAGTGTGGATAGAGTGATGTCCCTTCGTATGGCCATTAAGACTGAGAAATCTCTTTATTGCGTTAAGTGTGTTGAAAATGGGTTTGACTATATCTATACTAGCAATGCTCTTTTGAATGCAGAAGGTGAATATCAAGGAAAAAGGAGTGATTGTTCGTTGTCGTATGCGGAAGAGTCTTTGTTTCTGCAGCGGATTAAACGAAGAGGTCTGACTAAGTTGGGAGTGCCTTTGTTTGGGATCTTTGCTAACCAAGAGTATAGTCCGAATGAAGCGATTGGGTTTGTGAGTGGGGCCCTAGTGGAAGCTTCTGTAGAGTACACTGCCTTGTTGGGACAGTCCACTGGGGCTAATCGGTGCTTTCTCTTGCGAGAACAGGGACTAATGATCGATTCGCGCCGAGTGGGTAATTTAACACGATTTATTCGACGGTCCTGCCGGCCTAATGTACGGATTTCTTTAGAGGGCCCGGCGGAAGAATGGATGTCTTTGCCGCCTGTTAAGAAGCGCCATTTGGTTTCACGGCCGCCTTTGGCTCGTCTTTATGCTACGGCTAAGATATACCATAATAGTGAGCTGTTTTTAGATAGCAAGTACTCAGGACACCAGCATGAACAGTGGTCCTCTCCCAATGTAGCCATTGGTCCTAACGAGTTGGTGGATAAGTGTGCGTGCTCCTCAGCATGGACGTGTCTCTATGAGAAAAGTCATCCCCAGCCCAGTCGTATTGCAGTTGTTCAGAAAGAAGATCGTTCTGCTCTTCTTCATGCGCGCATGCATCGCTATGTTGTGGACTTCTTCTGTCATACCAACCTTAAACATATCCCTCTCTTAAGAAGCAAGTGTGTCTTTATGAAGATATAAATGGATTGAGTTGGGCCGACTGACTTGGCTTGGTTTGTGCAGTTAAGTTAAGTTAAGTTTAGTTTAGTATTGGGTAAGTATTTGGTAAGTATTGGTTTAAGTTGTGATATAACAACACCCAACCTATACTAAACCAACCTAATACTAAACCTATACTAAACCTAACCCAATACTATACTAAACCAACATAACCTAACACTATACCAAACTAGTTCCTTCTAAATAGACCCATCATCTCGCAGTCTATTTTAACTCGTCCCAACCCCTAATACATCCCAATTAAAGATCCTCTTATGACATATTCGATGCTTCTTTTTCCTAACCTATCATTTACCTATTGGATCCCGTATTTTGACAAATCTATAAATATCTAGTAAACTAGACAGATATGGCTCGACTTGTTCACTTTATTTCTATTTCTCTGGCTATCATAGGTCTCAGCTTAGTTGCTGCGGCTGATGATGATAGTAGCAAAGGAGATGGTGGAGAAAAACCAGATGATACTGCACAATCCACAACCGCAAACCCAAGTAGCGAAGCCAACCCCAAATCAGCTGCCGATGGAGTCTCTTTCCAACCCATCAACCTTTATGGGAAAATCAACCAAAGCAAAGATTCCGATGCTGGTCTCACCTGCACCAAGATGAACGCTAATTGTAAGGCTGAATATAAGCACTCTGATGGCAAAAAAGAAGTACGAGAGCTCGACTGGACCAATCAACTACATGATGAGACGTCAGCACCAGGTACTGGCCCTGCTTAACTTGGCTTACTTTCAACAGTGCCCAATTGCTCAGATTGAACCCAACTAATAAATGGTCAAATCTATAGAAGTACCAATTTGGTTTTCATTTTAGGTCCAACTAACCCAAACTAGCCCAGTTTGATTTTAACTCTAATCAACCCCTAACAACTCTAATCAACTCCAACCAGTCCACTACATAGCTAATCCGATCTGTTTTCGGGATGGATGCAGAAAAAAGGATCTTGCAAGAACGAGAGAATTGGCGCAAAGATAGGCCTTTTGGTTTTGTAGCTAAGCCTAGAAAAAAGCCCGATGGCTGTCTTGATTTATTCAATTGGGACTGTTCCTTTCCTGGCCCAGAATCTACTCCTTTTGAGGGGCACACTTTATCTTTACAAGTTGAGTTTTTCAAAGATTACCCTCTTTCTCCACCCACCTTCCGTTTCGTCTCTAATGTCTTTCATCCTAACGTTTATCCTGATGGCGTTGTCTGCTTAGATATTCTCTCGACCACTAATTGGAAACCTTCTATAAATATCAAATCCGCCCTACTCGCCATTCACTATCTCATCACCCACCCCAACATAAACTCACCAGCTAACCAAGTTGCATCCAATCTCTATGAGAAGTCCTTCCACGAGTACAGCCAGAAAGCCAAGAAGAAAATAAACATCGGTTAACAGCCACTTCCTATCTCAATTTGGTTTATTGGGTTAAGTTTTAGTTGTCTTAAGTTAGTAGTGCGTGTGAAAGGCCAAAGATGTGCCACGCCCTACACTATTGTTAACTCAACCTAACTCAACCCAATACTAACTCAACTCAACCCAATACTAACTCAACTCAACTCAATAGTTGGCAAGTCCTCTGTTCTTTGAGTTAATAAATTAGGTTCGTGTTGGTTAGCAGTGATGATCATGGACTAGTTTTGGAATTGTAAAAAGATAAGGTTTGTAAAAGTGCAAATAGATATGAAATTGTCTTTCGGGATGTTAGGAGCTGGTCTTGTTGGGTTGTTGGGTTGGAATAGTGATTTGACTAGTGGCCAATCGGCCGATGCTAGTCATGTGGCTAAGAGAATCTGGAGAGACTATTATGCCGGATTGGAGGATAATTGGCAGTTAGCCAAGTATACAATTGAATATAATTCTAATCCACAGTGTTCAAAGATTGAATTTAAGGATGGGGATGTGATTGATAATGAGATAATGCCAAACTATTATGTACAGTTTTGGGTCCGATTACTGGCAAATGGTTTGTTAAGTGATTCTGATACAAAACGTATTATTGCCATGCTAGATAACTGTCACCAAATTAATAACCCAAATGCTAAGTCTTGCTCTCTTGACCTTGAAAAAGAGTCTCTATCATATGCATTGGATCGCATTATAAAGGAGCTTGAAAATGTACAAGCCATAAGTCAGAGATATTCTTACCGGCTTAGAAATATAATTAGGACTGTTACGGGTAATACTATTACATATTTACTGGAAACATCGAATCCGAATAACTTTACGAATAATATCAAGGCAGTCCAAGATGCTCTTCAGGACTATTGTGGACCGGGTCTGTTTAACCGTTCGCCATTTACTTCACTCGAGCTTACTGAAGAGAATATCAACAAAGTGTTTGAAACATGGAAGGAGAGCATCCAAAATCCATCAGTATTCAGCACAGACCTTCGCGCCCAGAAACAGCTTAGACACTTCTTATACGATATGCTAAGAATGAAGCTAGTGGTTTCTAGCCTTTCGACTTATTCTAATCCACCTCTAAGTACTTATCACAATGGCATGATCAACGATGAAACTCAGAACCACATTGATGCCCTTTTAAGATTAAACATTGCTGTGGTGATAAAAAGCATGCCTGTAGATAAAGCTGTCAAAAAGCTAATTGCCGAATTATCGCGTGGTCCGAGCATAATCAATAGGTATCACGATTGTTATCAGATGCCTGACTTTATGCCGCGAATGTATATGTTTTCTGGCTTTCTATTAGACAACTCTAGAACTCGCATCCCAATTGAAGATATTAAGCAACGAGCTGAAGATATGAAGAAAATATCAGATCATTTTAAGCATATATTGGAGAAGACAAAACAACTAAAAGCCGCGCTTAGTCCCCATTTGGCAAATACCAAAGCTGCCTCTAGTATTCATGAGTGTGTAGAATATCTAGCCGCTAACCCATCATCGGCATCCTCTTTCAAATCAAATTGGATGTCCAACTCTCCTATCCTCCACAAACTTATAACCAGTCTGCTTTGGACCCGTCTCACACAACTACTGGGACTGTCTCGCTGATAACTTATTTACTCTACTCGCCTACCTACTAACCCATCCCAACACGACATGACATGACATAATTTACTCTTGGCCCTACCAACACTAACTCAACACTAACTCAACACTACCTTAACATATGCAATAAATCTACTTGTCATGGTTTGAATATTAACTTAGCTTAGCATAGCATTGCATGTTTTATGTTAGAAACCATCACTAACCCAATCCTAACCCAATCCACCTAACAATCTTTAAATACTACATCGACCTTTATTCCATTATATTACATGTCATTTGCAACTTTTAAACCACCCGGCCAAATAGGTCATTGAATGTATTTAGCACAACAATAGCCCAAGTTATTTCTAGTCTAATAAACAGGTTGGCATTAGGTTGGTATTAGGTTGGTATTGGGTTGGGTGGGGTTGATGCCTCTTTGGCATTTACATTTAACCCTACCCTTTAATATAGCCATATCCAAGCCAAACCTAATTCAAATCCAAATCCAATCCAAACCAAACTTAATCTAACCCAAATCCAATCCTAATCCAAACTCAAACCTAATACTAATCCAATCTAAACTCAATCTAATCTAAACCCCATCCAACTCAATCTAATTATAAAAAAGACCATCAAAAAGATCGATCGAACTGAATTTCCCTAATCAAGATATACGATCTATGCATATATACTAGCTCAAACTAACCCAAAATCAACCCAATGCTACGCAATAACTATCAAAGATTAGCCTATCTACTCTTAAATTTTATTTTTGTTGTTCGTGCTAGTTACTACTATAATCAAATGACTAATTCTTATTCTAATCCTAATATGCATATGACAAATCAAACTAATGGCCAACAAATGGCTCTAAACTTCCCACAAGCAAGTGAAATCAATTCTTTAATATCTGTAATGCGCTCTAGAGGCTTAACTAAGGCTATTGTAGTCTATACCAGCCAGAGTTGTATGCCTTGCCAGGGGTACAAGGGCACCTTAGCCGGCTTTGTAGCTGCTTTCCCGCAATATGCACACTTCTTTATTGAGTCTCCAACTAACGGGCCTACTGAGTTGGCTAAAGCCACTGGAGTTAGAGCCCTGCCAACCACTCAAGTCTGTGAGCTAGCCGAGAATAACAGTCTGCGTGTTAAGGATAGTAGAGGAAGTGCGCTTAGCAAAGACCAGCTCTTGCAAATGATTCAAGGTTCTATTTTAGCTCCTTAATTTCAGATGATTGCAATGAATCAGTCTAATAAATTCTAATGGCTATCTTTCTATTGTGTTCAAAGTGTCTACCACTATTGGGTTAGATTGTATTGGTATTGTATAAGTTATGTGTTGTATTGCAGTATGTTTCACTGAAGATAAGCACTAGTCAATCTATCTTTATTCTTCATCAGCAGTTCCATTGAGTTGGTAGTGAGTTGGTAGTGGGTTGAGTTGGTAGAATACAACTCCAAACTACAAATACATAAAGGAATTGGTTTAAAAAGATCTTAATTTGATGTTATAACATGGAATCTTAGATGTTGTACACGTCATAGTCAATACGTTGATGGTTTATTCAATAATCTGAAGAGTATCTAATATGACTATTGGGTTAGTATTGGTATTGCTTTAGTATTGCTTGAAAACGAAGTGTTGCCACTCAGTAACATAACTCATACTAATCAAATCCTAACTCAACTCAATACTAACTCAACTCAACTCAATAAGTATATCTATGTAAATATATAAATCTATTTGTAAAGGGATACTTTTAGAATAAGAAAGGGTTTACTTTTATTTTGTTTTATATATCATCTTCATATTTCCTTTAAATTTCCTTTTTGGGTAATTTTGGATTATCACTAAACTTAGAAATAATACGCTAATTTACTTAGTCCAACCTAGCCAGGCATTCCTTTCACTCTTTTGAACCCAAATAAACCGCTTCCTATTTAGACACTAGGCAAATTTTTCGGAATGTCGTTTGAGATTGCGGTTGCTCCTATGGTTGGTGTGTCTACACCCGAGTACCGAAGGTTTATGCGCTTAATTTCGCCCAACTCTATCGTATTTACCGAAATGATTGTTGATACGTCTTTATTGCACATGAACAGTGCTATGTTGGAAAAAAAGATCGGATTAGCAACCCCACATTGTGCTCTTCAGATAGGAGGATCTATACCGGAACAAGTAGCCCAGGCTGCTATTCGGGCAGTGTCCGTAGGATATACTCGGCTTAACCTTAATTGTGGCTGTCCTAGTGATCGAGTAAAAAGTGGTAGTTTTGGTGCTGTTCTCATGAAGACACCCGAAACCATTGCGGCTATTGTCCAAGCTGTTTACCAAAGCACGGGTGTAGTTATGAGTGTCAAGTGCCGTATAGGCCTAGACCAAGTTGAAGATTACGATTCATTTAAGGCAATGATTAGTACAATTGTAGCCCAATCACCTTGCCGGACCTTTTATGTTCATGCCCGGAAGTGCCTTCTTAATGGACTCTCACCCGCTGAAAACCGACGAGTTCCGCCCTTACGATACGATTATGCTCTGCAGATTAAAAGAGACTTTCCACAGCTTAAGATTATTCTCAATGGTGGGATAAGAGAGATAAACCAAATTATTCCATTTATTGGTCAGTTAGATGGTGTTATGCTTGCACGTAAACCCATGGAGGATCCTTTCTTCTTTGCCGAGTTAGAATCTGTTTTGTTCAGCCGGCCGCCCATTTCTCCCTTCCTTGTTATCAGCGAGTACCTCAATACATTGTCTACCAGAATAGCCAACCAGCATGCTTTCTATGAACTAGATAAGGAATATGTCGCCAAAGCCAGCCAGCTTTCTTCATCACAACACTCAGACCAGGAAAGTTCACCCCATACCAATACCAACCCAATACTAACTCAACCTAGCCCCACCACTTCGTACCTTTGCACCCGGGCTGATCTCAAGCCAATTGAGCCCGTTCTCTTTGGCAAACGCGGCTGCAAAAAGTACAAACAACGCCTGGCCGAGATTGCAGGCATTCATCTAGCACCCAATCAGGTTCTTCCTTTAATAGAACCCTATTTCAGCGCTAGCCCAGCAATTTCATCCTCAGATAGTACCCAGCTTACCTAGCATTCCATTGAGTTGGTATTGAGTTAGTATTGTATTGAGTTAGTATTGAGGTGGTATTAGGTTAGGATTAAGGTGGTATTAGGTTAAGATTAAGTTGAGTTAGGATTAACTTATGTGGGCAGCAGAGAATAGGATACTAACCCACTTACAGCCTCATTAACTTCATATTTTACCAAATATATCCTAACGCCAACTCAAGACTAACCCAATCGATAATCAAAAACAAACATTTAGGTATCTTCAATAAATTCAAACTTAACTAAAGTCTTCCTCAACACAATACCAACCCGCTCCTAACCAATCCTAGCACTAACCCACCCCAATCCTAACTAGACCTATGCATATTATAGATTGCTCCGAAGTATATTAGCATAGATCTCATTAGTCTTTCCCAATATAACCCAATGGGCTAAAATGGAATTTAAAATGAAATATAAGGACCCAGGTACTCGAGAAACTATGTTATTTATGGTTCTCCTGATTAAAGCTGTTATGGGCTACTATATAAAGGAGTCTTATCGGCCAAATGTGGTTGATGTGACTCGTATAGAGCGGCCGGATCGTAAAATAGACCTTTGCTTTGTTTTAGAGAATGATATGTATAGCACTACGATTCAGCTAGACAACCGGCAGCGTCATGGAACCAATTCTTATAATGCCTATCGAGTAGTTTACACAAAGAAAAGTGCGGCTACGGGTCAAAGCACGCCTTATCAGCTCAAAGAGAGTTTTCAAGAACCGCAGGGGTGGCTAATGCAGGAACTGGGTAGTGATTTACTGAGTGGAGTAGTTATTGATGAACATCGAATTATTCATATCAAGCCAAAAGAGTTTCTGTACAGCCAGGCCGATAATTTGGATAAACGAAGTGACTTGGTGGCTTTTCGAGCCGATGATGAGGTTCTAGATGAGTGCATAATGCTGGATGATTCCGGAATGAACCTTGGCGATGACGAAATCAAACAGGACTACTTAGAAGGAGTCGAAGAGTACTTTGGCCGACCACAAAATCAAAGCAAGACAGGAAATACCTTAGAAGGCAAGGCCGGCGAGATTCTAGAGAAGCTCAAAGACGTCATGCCTGAGTCATTGCAGAAGTTACTTTTCTGGTGGAGGCCAATAAGCATCCACGCTACAACAGAACAGGACAGTAAGAAGAGCTATTCCGAGGTAGATTTAGCAACCAGCCCGCCAAAGCGCTATGGTTTAGCCGACCCCGAGAACCAAAGAATCAAATGTGAAGAGTGTAATATAAAGCGACTGAATCGCATCGATTTAAGCAAGTCAAGTAATTCAAAAGACCAACCCCAACCATTTTCTGGCCAAAAGGTCTATCCAGATATAAAATCTACCCATCTGCCACCATCTGTTCCCACCCGACACAACACATCCAAACCCAATGTAAACCAACCTAATAATACTCCGGCTGAACAAGCTCTAGAAGTCAGTGATCTAGCCGGCTTCAAGGACGAGGACCACTACTACCAAGTGGAGGATAGCAATTCGCTCTTGGAATACACTGCCGAAGCTGTCGCCAAAGATGTTATGGCCCGCGAGCCGCCTATTAATCCCACACAAACAACTACTCGAGTCAAAACTATTAAGAAGGTCAAGGACAAGCTTAATGGAACCATTTCAGTCACCACTGAAATGCCACACGCCAATCGCATCATTAGAAAAGGAAAGAAGATCTACTTTGGCATTCCCTTCTACTCCAAACTAAGCCAGATAGAGAATGCCATCGTTCCTAATTTAGAGTACGGGTTTCCAGTTGAAACACGAGCTATTCCAATTGCCATTGCCTTAGACAAGTACTTTATTGCCAAAAACGGCTCCTTACGAGCTGCTATTTTATTCGCGCTTGAAACCATCAATACGACCAGCAGCATCTACGAACGCTCTTTTAATGTCATTCTCTATGTAAACGATATTATCATTGACAAAAAGGCTGAGTGGTACCACAGCACTGGTGATTTGCTTAAGAAGTTAGAGCAGTTCACTGAGTATCGCCGGCACAAGAACAAGGACTGTATGCTTTACCACCTCTTTACAGGCGATCTTATCACCAACAAAAAGATCGGACTGGCCTGGACCGGTAATATTGGCTACCACTCCCAAAAGAACATCAGTGCCAGTGTGCTTATTCAAAACCAGTTCATCACAGTTGCTCATGAAATTGCGCACAACCTTGGACTTTTCCACGACTGCGATGAAGAGCTTTGTAAAGACGCCACGGTCACTTCTTACGGCTGCCATCCGTGCAAGGGTTGCGACTGCAACTTCAAGTACATTATGAGCCGCCGTGGAACACCCGGGCTTCTTTGTTTCTCGCCGCCATCCCAACGGGAAATGTCCGTTATTCTGTCGCAGCTAGAATACCAAATGCCAAAGGCCGACGAAACCATTATGCCCTATCCCGTCTGTGGTAATGGTATCATGGAAAGGGGCAAAGAATGTGATGCCGGCCCCTTTGGCGACGAATGCTGTACCCCGGACTGTAAGCTTCGTCCCGGGGCTATTTGCTCCGATGCTAACAGCAAGTGCTGCACCAAGTGTCAAATTTCCCCTGCCGGAACTATCTGTCGCTCGGCGGCTAATGAGTGCCAAAGAGATTCTATCTGCGATGGAATGAGCGAAAAGTGTCCAGCACCCGTCTTTATGCCCAATCGCAAAAAGTGCTCAATTGGCCATTGCACTAGCGGAATGTGCATCAATCGCGATATTCAGTGCACTATTGCCGGGGACCGAATGGGAATCATTTCTTCTTGTCCTTCACACAAAGGCTGTGCGATGAAGTGCGTGAATCTCAAAGGCGAAGCCGTCTTTATCGAAGGCCGCTACTTCAAAAACGGAACGCCCTGTGGCTGGAATGGCGTTTGCATGCAGGGTCGGTGCAATCGAGATCTCAAAGTTGCGGCCATGTATATATGTGCTGTGGTTGTTGGTGTTGCCATGATTGGAGTTTACTTTTACACATAAGCCAAAGTCTACTACAATCTACAACTTATTCTAATGCCAGCTCTAATAAGTTATGTACATAGAGTAATGTCTGGCAATAAAGATTATTATAGCTATAACCCAGCCCAATCTTTTGTTACAGCAACCTTCACTCAACTCCCAATACTAACACCAATTCACTGGACTATTATTCAGATTCAGCTGAGACCAGTTTCTTTTTGTTTGTATCTCTAATATCAAAACAACCTATACTTTCCCTTAGACCAGCTACTTCAGCTATGTATAACTACTTCTCAGTACGACTTAGCACCATCTAACTCAATCCAACCACCAACTCAATCCAATAAACAGCTGAGGTTAGCAAGGACAAATAAGTCCGCCCGTGTAGCCCATGTCACAGCACCTCAATCTAAAATCCACCCACTCAAATAACAACCTAACCCAACTCAACTTAACTCAAACACCAACTAAACACCAACCAAATACTAACTCAAGCCAACTCAAATCAACTAAACGCCAGCCCAATCCGATATCCGATCAACTTGATCAATCGAGATGGACCAGAGAAAAGACTCAAGTGATTTTCTTTTCCCCTTATAATGGACAAAGCCATTGAAGAGACTATAACCGAGAAAGAAATAGGCATGATTCTTGCCGATCCATACGCACACGCAGTCAGTCTACACATCGAAAACATTGAAAAGCCTTCTAACAGTATTGAGACCAAAAATGAGTACATTGATGGTCTTGAAGCCATGCTTATTCATTCCAGTGTTTCAACAGCGCCTAGTATTCTGGCGAAGATGAAAGATCTTGTCAAACTAATTCACGTTCCTGGAGTTGAGGCCAACATGTGTGTTCTGCTAGGACATATGACCCAAAACGTGATTGTTATCTCTCAAGAGTTAGTTAAGTGCCACATTTTCAGTGAGTGCTTAGCACTATCGCGAACGCGTCCCACTGCCCTCCCCAAGATTGCTTTCCTTCTGACTATTTTAGATAACACTCTTCCCAACTTCAAAGAGCTACTTATTAAGGCCAACGAGGACCCTCTTAAAATAAGAGACTTCCTGTCCGCAGAAACAGTCATCGATAGCAAAACCGAAGCTCGACTGACCGCCCTTTGTGCCAAGTTAGAATAAAGAGGCATTTTGTTGACATGGTTTAGTATTAAGTTGCGTTAGGATTAAGTTAGGATTGGGTTGGGTTTGGTTTGAGTTGGTGTTGTTAGGAGGGGCGTTCTCTGATTTAGATAAGATTTAGTCAGTATCCCAACCCAATCCTAGCTCAATTCTAACTCAATACATACCCCATTAAAGATATTCCTTGCGATAAGTGTGGGTACTGTTTATTAAGTAAATAAAGGGGTGAGTGATGATGACGTCATCTCGGATTGTAGATAAGATATATAAAATTACTTTAGTTAAAACAGCCCGATTTCATTAAAGCTACGTCTTAGTAGCAGTGTGTACTAAGTACTAAGTAGTGAGTACTAAGTACTAAGTAGTGTGTACTGAGTACTAAGTAGTGATCGTATGACAACACTACAATTAGTCTAGTTTAACATAATTTCAATTATTTCCTTTTATGGTAATTTCAATTTTCCCCAAAAGGAAATAAGTTGTCTACCAAGCAAATAACTCGACCCAAAACAAATATCACCACAGCATCAGCCTAACTTCCTTGAATAATCCAGCTTTATTCAACCCATACCAATCCTAACCCAACAACAACCCAACCCCAATCCAATTTTGTTGATTAAATCAGCTATAAATCTCTAATTGGAAAAAATTGGCAGACAATGACTTCTACATCAGAACTGCCGTTGCAACAACCAAATACGTCTGTAGATAGCCAAGCAACCCTTCCTAGTGATTCTCCGCTGAACAAATACACGCGATTTGATGCCGCTAAGATAATTCGAACGGGATACGGCCACACACGCACCATACTTACCAATACCCAAGACTACAACTATCAAAGACAAACACAGTTTATTACAATCCTAAACAGCAACAACAACTCGTACCCATCACCAGCCGAAAAGCCCAAGTGGCCAATCATCCATCGTATTCGAAGGTATTTCCGCTACATCCCTTTAGATGAACGCGATCCAGCACCAGATTTCCAAGCACATGTACAAGAAATCCTTATGGACGGCTGGCAGATAATTGCTGCCTATATTTGGCCATTTGCTAAAGCAGCGCTCTTATTTATACCATCCTTACTCTTTATCAAGACCGCATTTTACATGCACATCTATCAGATCAGCACCGACCTTCATTTTGATTACAACTACAGCTACGCACTTAATCCCGGCGAACAAACTATGTTTGGTCTTATTACAGTATTTGCCATTGTATTAGCCGTTATCATAAGCATATATGGCTTCTTTTCTAATGGCGTTAACAAGTCAGGCAAGAATGCATTATTTAGAAAACCAGGCACACTAGGCGATGAAGCCTCGGCCAATTCAGTGATGGGAATCATCTTCTACTTCACTATAGCATTATCAATCATTCCTGTTGTGCTGAATTTACTTGGCAAGGTCTGTTTTGCACTCTTCCAAATATTTGAAATCCCGGTCATCCTAGTCAGCATTCTAGTTATTTGTGCCATGTTCATGATTGGAAGTTCCTACGGCATGGCAAGAAAGTTTTCGTTCGGCAGTCGCCCTCTTCGGGTCATTCTGTATATTGCTCTCGTTGGCACAATCATTCTTTTAACTGTCTACTTTAGTCTCCATATAATCGGCCAATGGAACAGCTGCCACGTCACACCCGGTTTCTTCAACCATACTCTCGAACTTCTCCGAAAGACACAAACAATAGATCGGAAGCAACTTTCAGACCTACTAACCGTGAAGCTAAACGAGAAATCCGACAACCTCCACCGGCTCTTCTCCGGTGTCACTAGCGCACCTCTGCCCACTTCTATCGCTGATAAGACTATCGTTTCCGATGATATTTTCACAAAGTTCGGTTACTAATCCCCACAACCGCAAGCCAATACCCAACCACTGCCAAAACTAGTTTAAGCATATAAAGTACATCTAAATATCTACTTCTTCTTGTCCCATTCAGTTAAGTTATGTTTATGTTAGATTGAGTTGAGTTAAGTTAATGTTTAGATTGAGTTAAGTTATGTTAATGTTAGACTGAGTTATGTTAATGTTTAGATTGGGTTATGTCAAGTTTATGTCTGGTTGAGTTAAGTTAAGTTTATGTCTGGTTGAGTTTAGATTGAGTTAAGTTAAGTTAATGTCTGACTGACTGACCGACTGACTTAAGTCTATACTAACCCAATGCTAAGTTGGTTTAAGTTTAGTATTTGAATTGCAATGTGTAATTCTAACAATCTAATCTAATAAAATACTAAACACAACTAAACTAAACCCAACTTAATCTAATCTAAACTTAACCCAATCTAAACATAACACAACCCACTCTAAACTTAACCCACTCTAAACTTAACCCAACACAACTCAATACAACTTAATCTAATCTAATCTAAACTTAACCTAACCAGTCTTTTTTCTTTTTATGGTTGTTACTCATTCCAAAAACCGAGGCAATGCTTGTCTTATTCGCTGTGATGGTTGTTTAATGGATGTTTCAACTACACTCTGGATGCAATGTACTGTTTGTAATATTGATATCTGTCCAATCTGTCTCTTTAAAAAGGTTCAAATAAATGAGCACCAACCCAATCATTCCTACCGAGTAGTCAAAAACCTCTCCTTTCCAGCTGACTTCTCTGATTGGCAACTCCTTGAAGAACTTCTTTTCGTTGATGGGCTTATTATTCATGGTATTGGTAACTGGGAAGATGTATCTACGTATATTGGCCGTAAATCTCCTCAAGAAACACAAGAACATTTCTACCAATTATTCCATCTTAATCCAAATGCACCTTTAGAAGGTCCTCCTGTTACTGATCTACAAAGTAATCCTCTTTCCCAGGAGATCTCTGGATACATGCCTTTACGAGGTGATTTTGAATTAGAGTATAATAATGATGCTGAAATGGTTATCAAAGAAATGACCTTTTCACCAACAGATACACAACTAGAAAAAGAGATGAAAGAAGCTTTACTAGATGCTTATCATTTGGTTTTATTGAAAAGAATGCAGTTTCGTTCTCTTATTCTAGATAAGGGTTTATTACAGGCTAAAAAACGTCTGCAACTAGAGAAGACGCTTTGTACGCCTGGGAAAGACTTACTGGCTAAGATAAAGCCTCTTATCAAAATTATGTCCCCAACCGATTTCGCTCTTTTCTTTCAAGGTCTCTACTTAGAGATAGCTATCAAAAGAAAGATCAAAAACTTAATCCAGCAGTATACTCAAGCCAATCGCCCCGAAACCAAGAAAACCATCTCCAATTTCACCGAAGAGATTCAACCCGAACTTCTTGATACTAATGAGCATACTCTTTGTACATCCCTTGGCATTACCCCGACTGTTTATCTTCTTCTTAAAGAGGCAGCTGTCATTAACCAGTTCACTCCAGAAAAGGACCGTATTCCCTTGACTAAACTCTTCCAAGGTCTGTCTGAGCCCAAACTAACCCAACTAGCCCAATTCTTCGCCCAAAACGGCTGGATCACCAATGAGTAGCCTCTCTATCCACATCATTGGGTTAGTATTGAGTTAGTATTGTGTTGCTACTGTGTTACTACTATCTAAGACACTTTAGCACTACACACTAACTCAATACTAACTTAACTCAACTCAACTCAATCCAATCCAAACCAACCTAATACTGAAGTAAATATTAAATAAACCCAATTACATCATAAACTCAACCACTCTTCAACATCTCAACTTAACTCAATTCAACTCAACCCAATATGTTTATTATTTGAATATCTACTACCAATCCAATTTACATTCTAATACCAATCCAAACACACACAATACCAACTCAATACCAACCCAAACAACTTGTCTCTTAATCAATAAATTGAACTCCACTCTTATTATACACCATTTATTACACACCCCCCCAATACTAACCCAACTTAATACTAACTCAATACTAACCACTTAAACCAATTTAAACCAAAAACATATTGAGTTTGGCCACTTTATTCTTTCTAGTCCAATTTTTACCATTTCTGGTAAAATAGGGTCAAAAACACAAATCTAACCCAATACTAACCCCAAACTCTATCTAAACTCCCAGAATAACCTTAAAACCCGCCATTCTGACATCTTACAACGAATCAAAACTCAAATCAAAACAAAAGCCAAATCAAAACCAAGCTTATCTTCATTCCCAGCCAATCTAATACCTATATAAAGAAAGAATTTTGCAAATTGTTATGAATAAGGAAAGAGAAACACTTACTGAGTGCCAAGCTAAAGGCGAGAAACTCATTTGGCTCCTTTCTAAAGAAGGAGATTATCGTATTGGTAAAATTGTTGAAGAAATGGATGAAAGTGTTCAATTAGTAGTTGAAGGGTCTAAATGCACAGTGGATAAGGGAAGTATCCATAAAGCAAATCCATCTAAGTTTGATTTAGTTGAAAATATGGCCCATTTATCTTATCTTAATGAACCAAGTATTCTGCACAATCTCAGGCAAAGATACTTAGCTGGCTTACAGTATACTTATTCTGGCTTGTTCTTAGTCGCTATCAATCCCTATAAAGACCTATCAGTCTATACGAAAGAATTCATTGATCGCTACTCTTCAGTTTATAAGCGAGAAGATGCTCCACCCCATATCTATGCCGTTGCTTCTGAAGCCTACTATCTTATGCGCAATTCCCAACGACCCCAAACTATTCTTATTACTGGTGAGTCTGGAGCTGGTAAAACTGAAAACACCAAACATGCCATTACTTTCTTAACTAAAATCAGTGGTAATCTGCTACAGAGTACTAAACTCCTGGAAGAAAGACTTCTTTCCAGTAATCCTTTACTTGAAGCCTTTGGTAATGCCCAAACTGCTCGTAATGATAATAGTTCGCGTTTTGGGAAGTTCATTAAGATTGAGTTTGGTCGGACTGGTGAAATAATTGGTGCTTCCATTGAAAGGTACCTTTTAGAAGCCTCCCGAGTGACTAAACAGACTCCAGGTGAACGTAATTACCATATCTTCTATGCCCTCTTACAAACAGCTAGTGCCGAGTTTTTACAAAGCTTATACCTATCTAGTACTCAGACTTACCGGATTATTCCTGAACTTAAGAGTGCTGGAGTAATAGGTGCAGATTTTGCCCAAGTAACGGCTGCTATGGATATTCTGGGTTTGGAACCGGCTGAGCAAAATCGAGTATTTAGGATTCTAGCTGCTATCATTCATCTTAGTGAAGTTGTTTTCCAAGAAGGTACCAGTCAATTACAACTAAGTACGAGTGGTGAGGAGGCTTTAAGTCATGCAGCTGAGTTCTTAGGCGTAGATGCACAAATTCTTAGGGAAACTCTAACTTGTCCTCGGATTAGGGCGGGTAATGAAATGGTCGTACACGGTCGAACGGCTGAAGAGGCCAATTATACTTTAGCTTCACTTTGTAAAGTGATTTACGAACGTTTATTTGACTGGTTAGTCTTCTTAGTTAATCGGGCCTTAAAACCTCAGAGTGAATCTACTTCTTATATTGGTGTCCTGGATATTGCTGGGTTTGAAATTCTCCAGCGGAATGGTTTTGAACAGCTTTGCATTAACTATACTAACGAAAAGTTACAACAATTCTTCAACCATCGTATGTTTGTTCTTGAACAAGAAATCTACTTGAATGAAGGTTTAGAATGGAGTATGATTGATTTTGGGTTGGATTTACAACCGACAATTGATTTGTTAGAAGCAAGTGGTTCGGGTATATTTTCAGTCTTAGATGAAGAGTGTATTGTGCCTGGTGGATCTGATGCACGTTTATTGGCTAAGATCAGTTCAGTCTGGCAGGGATCTAGTCAGTTTTCTAGGCCAAGACTTAATGATGGGTTTATGATTGAGCATTATGCAGGTTCAGTCTGTTATAGTGAGCCGGGTTGGATTGCTAAGAATAAGGATCCTTTAGATGAAGCTATTGCTGGTTTACTATTGGGTCCAGATGGTCCTGTTCCTGCTTCAGCTGTACCCTCCCTAGCAGCTACTCGTTTCCGAACGGTAGCTCAACGCCATCGCCAGCAACTGAACAATCTCTTGCATATGCTGCGGCAAACGAACCCTCATTTTGTCCGATGTATTCTCCCCAATAATAAGAAGACTCCGGGCTTATTTGAAGCTCCCCGGGTTTTGCATCAGCTTAGATGTAATGGTGTCCTGGAGGGTGTAAGAATTTCCCGACAAGGTTTCCCTTCTCGTGTTCCTTTCCATGAATTCATTAGTCGTTACGCTTTACTTGCCCCGGCTAGTCTTTCCGGACGGTTTGCTCCTTCAGAACAAGGTGTTTCCTTGCTTTTAAGTGAGTTACAAGTCCCGGCTAGTCTTTTCCGTTTAGGTCGGACTCTTCTTTTCCTGCGCCAAGGTGTACTAGCCGATCTGGAAGATGCCCGGAATGCTAAGATCTTAGGCTTAGTCTTGGAAGTTCAAAAGCGCTTGCGGCAACTCTTGCTTAAGAATCGTGAACAACTAGATAAGAAACGAGCTGAATCTCTAGCTGTTCTACAAAAGAACGTTAAGATCTTTGCTAGTGTTCGGCAATGGTCCTGGTGGAAGCTTTGCATGAAGATCAGACCTCTCCTTGAAGTACGTAAGGCCGAAGACGAATTGCGTGAAAAGGAGAAGGCCATTGTGCAACAAAGAGAAGAACTTCTTGCATTACAAGCCCAAGTTCAACAGGCCGAACTGGCTAAGCTCAGAGCTGAAGCCGCTCTAGCCAGTGCTTCCGAAGAAGCAGCCGCCGCCCGAGCTGCCTCTGAGATTCTCAGTACGCGCTTAAGAACTGAGCGGGAAGAGGCGGCTAAAGAAGTAGCTGCAGCCCAAAAAGCATCGGCCCGAGCTGCCCAAGCGACTGAACAACTACGCCGTGATATGGAAGTTCAAGCTAAAGCCGCCCATCGTGCCCGTGAAGAAGCCGCCTCCTCCACTGCCCTTCCCCTTCTCACCCAAATTGATGCTCTGAAAGAACGCGTACTAACCGCCGAAACACTCGCACAAACCGTTCAAACCGATCTACAGAAACAACAAGAAGAACTAGCCGCCGCCTTGCATAGTCAAGAAATATCCGAACGGGAAAGGACTTTTGCCGAAGATAGAGCTAAGAAACTAGCCACTGAAGTTGAGGAAATGCAAGCCGAAGTAGCTAGTGCTGAATCTTTACGCCGGCGTACTGAATCCGCCCTTAAAGCCGCTGAGACAGAAGCCACTCGATCGGCTTCTTTACTATCTTTTGAGCGCGAGAAGTACGCTCGTTTAGAAGAGGCCTTTAAGAGGGCAACAACTGCACCTACTCCAGCCCCTGCACCTGTTATTGGCAAAGATAATTCTGAGGACATAGCTGCCCTTCGTAAAGAACTAGCTACAGCCCAGAGTACGATTGCTAATATTCAAGAGGAGTATAATGATTTGCGCCGGCAGTACTTAGCCCTAACTGATGATAAGCTAGGTGGTATGTTGGAAATTCAAAACAAATACACGGCCGAGATCAACAAAATGCGGGCCTCAAGTGCTCAACTGGAAAAGAAGTTACAAAGAACTGAGCAAGATCTAGCCAGTGCCACTACTTCTCTGGAACAAGCCATCTCGGCTAAGGAGTCTGAAAAAGAACGACGTAAAGCAGCAGAAGAAGCTCTAGTTGCCAAACGAACCCTTGAGAAAGATTTACAACGGGCTCTTACCCGAGCACTTAAGGAGAAAGAAGATGCCCTGACTGAACTGGCCCAAGCTAACGAAGCAACAGCAGCGACCACTGAGCAAAGAGCTTCCTTCCGCCAAGATTTAACTACGGAGTTAGCTAAGGCTACATCGGCGACTGAAGCAATTCGGGCTGAGCTGGAGCGGGTGGCTAATGAGGTTGTAGCTGTAACGGATACTTTAGCTATCTATCGGGCGGAAATCAGTCGACTAACTGATGAGTTGCTTAGGGCAGAAACGGAAGTGACGCAAATACGCAGTTCATTGGACCGATCTCGTGTTGAAATGGCTGATGCTAAGGCTTCTTGTAAATGGGCGACTGATCAGGTAGCTATTCTGGAAGCCGAAAAGGCCGAGCTATTACGTGAGACCAAAGCAGAAATGAGTGCCCAACGCGATCGTTTTGAAGCGGCCGAAGATGCAGCTGATAAGGACCGGCGGGAGCGCTTAGCTGAACTTCGTTTGCTGAAACGAGAACTTCGTGATAAGGAAAGAGAAGCCGCTCAAGCTCAAAGTGCTCGTTCCGAGGTAGTTGCTTTACAGAAGAGACTAGCCGATGCCTTATCAATGCTTGACCAGCATGCAGAGGACAAGAAGGAATGGGATGCTAGTGTGCAAGGTCTGCTAGCTCAGGCGCGTAATGAAGCGCAAAAGGAGCGAGAAAGGGCTGAAGCACACCGGCGAGAGTTAATATCAGCGCAATCAGTAGCACGACGAGCCGAAACTTCAGCTACTCGAGCCACTGAGAAAGAAGCAGAAGCGCGCAAAGCTATCATTCGTTTGGAGGAGCAGTTGCTAACTTCAGCCAAACGAGAAAAGTCCTTATCTTTTGAGCTTCGTGCTTTAGTGCTGGAACTCAGTGCATTCAAAGAGCTTCCCTCAGATTTACCAGAGGACCAGCCAGTTTGTGCCAACTATGATTAAGCCACTTCCCAGGCCCAATCATCTTAGTTCAGCACTAACCCCCACTCTTAGCAATCACTGCGAGTTTCCTAATAAAGTATCTACTTAGTCTAGTTTATATTCTGTTTAAGTTAAGTTAAGCTAAGCTATTGTTTAAGTTGATATTTAGATAAGGTTACAATAAGATTGTTGATTGTGATCTTTAAATAATCTTATCTAACTCAATCCAACCCAACTCAACCCAGTCACAACTTAACCCAACCCAACTCACTATTAACTCAACTCACTACTAACTCACTACTCACTACTAAGTTAAGTTTGAGAAAGAATTTGAGTCCCTGTTGGTTTCAGTGGGCAGCTGCGGAGGGCAACCTCTGAGGAAAGTCCTCGGGCATTTGGCAGGAATGCAAGCTTAACTGCTGGCAAGTGCTATTTCGCCATTTTGATAGTAATGCTGCCAGGATATAGTTCTATCCTAACAGAACGAGGCTTACTCTGAGACCTTTTGTTTTATAATCACTTCATTTACTCTTATTTATTTCCTAATTGGGTAATATTTTAATCCAAACTTAATATCATCTTATTGCGTTAAGTTAAGTTAATTTAGGTTGAGTTAAGTTAAGTTATTGTACTAACTCAATCCTAACTAATACATACTCTATTAAAGACATTCCTTTAAATAAGTGTTGAGACCATTTATTAAGCAAATATAGTTGAGTTGAAATAAGATGACGTCATATTAAGTTAGTATTAGTTTAGTATTAGTTTAGTATTGGTACTACTAAGTAGTGCGTCGGAGTGCTTTAGTCTAGAAATCTTACCACCCAATACTATTACTACCTCTTAGTTATAGCAAATAAAGACCGTCTTTAAAATAATAGATAACTTCCAAACAACTACAACTACAAATAGAACAATTTAACCCAACCCAATTCAATTCAGTACCATTTTAATCCTGTTTATTCATTAGTTGCTATCTTTCCTAATCTACTACCATCCACTACCAATTAACAATCACAAAATACTCATCCAATACTAACCCAATAAGTCATACACACCAATAACAACAAAATACCAAACCCACTCAAACTAATACTAAACCTAATTTAATCTGCACATAGCTTAAGCAAAGATAGTGATAAGATCAATCCTAATGCTCCTACACCACCAACAATCATCTGTAAACTAATCAGTTTGGAAAAACACTTTGAACTCCCAGTTAATGCTACAGTTGAGGCCGTATTAACAATAGCCCCACCAAACGAGCCAATCAACCCACACATCCCAGAAATCATCCCACTACCAAATAAAGCCCAAGCCGAATGAACGTGTTTTAACTCTATTTCCGAACCTTGTTCAAAGATAGCAACTGCCCGATCTTTTAAGAAGAAGAAAGACATCAAACTAAATATCAAATTAGCTTCACAAATAACCATCCCAATCAAACCTTTGTATACAATTCCTGGTGTTCTAATACTTGCTCCAGAAATAGCCCGACTTATCACGGCAATCCCAATTGAAGTCCCAATACAATTCAAAACAACCGGTAAAAACAAGCCAATATAAGCAGGCGCACACGGATTCGCATCAAGAACTCGTCTTATTCCTCTTAAAATCGGCCCAATTATTACTAGTCCAATTAATCCAATTACTTCCAGACGAGATATCTTCTGTATAAACGAAGTAGGCCGCTTTTCCATAGCAAAAAAGTAAAGACAGACTTTATTCATAAAGATACACTTGGCAGATAGTGCTTTACCGTTTTGTTTGGGCTAGTAGTCAGTTATATCCAACTCTGTCCTTACCCAATCTCAACATTCTTCTTGTATTTGTTTACACCACTACTTACTGATGTTTTGGTCGTCACTTATTTAGAAACCAACTAGCCGGTTTTCTTCTCCTTCTCGGCCTTTTCCTTCTCAGCCTTCTCCTTCTCAATCTTGGCCTTCTCAGCCTTGGTCTTAGCAAGGCCTTCCCGGAATTTAGTTATTTCTGAATCTTCAAAGAATCCAGGAAGGAAGTATCCACATACTCCTCCCAGTATAAATCCAACAATAAATCCACCGCCAATTCTAACTAAGCTCTTCTTATCCATGATAACTGTCAAAACCGTTGGGCTTAAATAGACTATAATTAGGGGTTAGACTGTTTATTTGTCTTTTGCCGATCATACTTATTGGTTATCAGTCGTAACTAAACGACCCCATTTTTGTAAACAAACCAATTTACGCTTAAGAATACCAATCATTTCCTTTGCCTCGTCTTTTGATACACCCAATGTACTCTCTTTGATTTTCTTTTCCTTTTCGGTCAATTTATTGCGAAGATGTCCTAATCGGGAAATAAAGTCTTTTGCATCGGAAAGATAGAGAAGAAGCTCTTTAGTCTCCTCCATGAAAAAAATATTATGCTCCTCTATAATAAGAGCCTTGACATTCGAGTTCCCACGGGTTATCGCGATATCTCTGATATGATTGCGGCTAAAATGTACCAGTATATGTTTGTTTGTGATCAAGATAACTATGATGATTTTCTAATTATTGATTTAATGGAGCCTAAAGAGCAGATAGATCTGCATATTGAAGAGATTATGGATATGAATGAGATTAAGCAGCCAAAACTTCTTTTGGTTGAGTATAGTACTAGTCAGTTTGCCAAGTCTTTGAACATCTTTGCTAATAAGTATAAGTGCCGGGGTGTGCCACGAGAAGTAGAATGGCCATCTGATAGTCAGCCTTGGGCTTGTGTGCATATTATTGGTGAAATTGCCCGTAGTGATGGGAAACCACGACAAGTTAATGTTTTGATTGGAATTAGTAAGTACCAGATGTCAGATATTGTGATTAGTATGTTCCGAGAAGGAGAACTAGCCCTTGAGAAGAAGGAAGACTTCTTTCATATGGTTCAAACCGTTGAAGTAATTGATCCTTCTATCTTTGTGCCATAATATGATTGGTTAAGTTGAGTTTGAGTTTGAGTTTGAGTTTGAGTTGAGTTGAGTTAGTGTTGGGTTTGGTTTGGTTGAGTTGAGTCTGTTGAGTCTGTTGGGTGCTATTAATTGGCCTAATCTACTCCTAACTCCTAAGTGAGTACTAATAAAGAAGTTTAGCTGTGTTGAGTTGAGTTAGTTGAGTTGGTATTGAATTAAGTTGAATTGGTATTGAATTAAGTTGGTATTGGGTTTTTATAAGTTCTAATTTGATCTTGCTGCAATTAGATTGTTGTTTTCTTTCTGGTCTCTTTTAAGTGCTTAAACATATCATACTACCACTACAACCTATTACAACCTATCACAACCTATCACAACACTATCCTAACCCAAGTTATTCTGATAAAGATCTAGGCGATGTTGAGGTACACTTTAGAATAGAAGTGGTGCTGGTCTTGAATTGATTTGGACTTATAGTGGCAAGAATTGCTGGGAATTGGGATAGTTGATTTTTGGCAGACTTTTAATTCGCGGATCAGTGATTTTCCTATTTTGGTAATTTTGTATTTAAACTGATGTAATTTTAAAACTAACATGTTTGTTTTGATTAAACGCACTGGTATCCATAAATTATGGTTAGTATTAGGCCTGGCTTGTTTGAACTGGATAATATGTGTATCCGCTGGAAGCTCCACTGATGTTTCGGCGGGTAGCCAATTGAAGTCTAGTGCAACTACGCCAATGGAAGATGATAAGACAAGTCTTAGTCATTCGCATGATCCGGCAGCTACTTCAACTGCTGCACCCGAACTTACATCACGCGATACTTCAGCTAGTATGCCTCAATTGAACCAAACAACTACTTCAACTACTGCATCCAAACTTACATCACGCGATGCTTCAGCTAGTATGCCTCAATTGAACCAAACAACTACTTCAACTACTGCATCCAAACTTACATCACGCGATACTTCAGCTAGTATGCCTCAATTGAACCAAACAACTACTTCAACTACTGCATCCAAACTTACACCAAGTAACACGCAGAATAATAACGAAACGCTGCCCCCCGCACTAAGATTTCTAGCAACTAAGTTTATGTTTCCGTGGGCCGAATCTATACAAGCAATGTTTGACAAGGGCCATCTCAAATCAACATATTATAATGCGTTGACTGGTATAACACAACATGTCTCCTACAGAAGTAAGATTAGCTTCTTTGAAGATGAAGGTTTCTATACACTATTATTTGGAGAATCTAACAGAGCTAAAGCTACGCTTGTGATTTGTTATTTGACTGACTTGATGCTGATACCTGCTAACCTAAGACTAGATGTCGTTGTAGAAGATACTAGTATGGGCCATGATAACCTGCTGCTAAGATCGACTCGATGGCCCGCAAGCCAACTTAACTTGAGCTTTTATTTAGATATGCTCATGGCCTATTCAGTTTTAAGCCAAAATACAGATACCATCCGAAAAGGCCCGGACGGTGTTGTTACATCTCATAAGCTTTTTGCCCAAAATCTTGCCTTCTATATCTACAATAGATACAAGAAGGGTCGGCTCGACCTAAAGCAATTGGAAGATGTATGTCTGTCGCCAGATATACTTGCTAAATGTGGAAGAAGGCCTGAATGCACATCTATCCCCAAGACTGCTCCTCTATTCAACTTCTTGGATGAACATTCCCTTATATTAAACAAGACGTGTCTTAAGACCTTGCGCGCGAGCCCTATTATTAACTACATACATCCATTGCGCACAAACCTTTCTAAGGCCAAACTTGATTGCTTTTATGATAAGAAACACAACGCCTTTATTGTAACCCAAAGCGAGGTCACCTCTAAAACTGGTTCTGAGATTGTAAATCTGGAGGGTAAACTTACCTTTGAAGCGGCCACCCTTCTATGTCACCACCGCTCTGCCCAGGGACCTAAATATACCGTACTCGCTTCTAATAGACACTTTGATAAGTTTAAAAAGATAGTGTCCCGATATCGAAGCTCAGATAATTTCGATGACTGCTTTACACACGGTTCTATTGTCAGTGAGTCGATAGTTAAGGAGGCCTGGGATAATGAAACTAGCCGTGGAGCTGTCTCAGCATTTCGCTGGCCGATGTTTATTATCGGATCGTTTGTTAGTTTGGTCAATGTTTGTTTCCTCTCTAGTAACTTAGTGTTGTGTTTCCTACCAATTATCATCATTGTTATAGGTACCATTGTCTCTATCATGTTAATCACATACAAATTATCATTCACGACCGGCCTAACTACTCACCGCAGACAACAACTCTGTATTTTTGCCCTCCTTCTACTCCTAACCCTCATTATTCCCTCGGCTATTATTTGGTATTATTCTGTTTCTTCCTATGGTTCCCAAAATGTACCTCACAGCTATATTATAGCTGCTATCTACTTAGCACTAGCAGTAACCTCTATTTTAGCCGTTCTCATTATCAGATTTGTAACCAGTTCACTGATGCCTAACTTCGCCAGAAGAACATACTGGGGCCTTTACTTCTTATCAGCCCTCCTCGCCCTAAGCATCCCAATACTATGCCTCACGAAGCAAACGTTTGATGCCCGTGCGCTTTTCCAAACACATATTTTGGTTGTCTCAGCAGCTCTTTTTGTTGCCGGAGCTCTTATTGATGTCTTCGGTAGATGGTTCTGCAAGGAAAAGGCCAATACCGCGCCTGTGCGTTCTAGCTCAAGCAAACATCATAAGATGATCAAAGTATTTGTCATTGGTTTAGTAATCATTGTCTTAAATATAGCAGCGATACTTACCGCCATCCATTACAACCTATTATCTGAAAACACAGCCCTTATTCCTTACTACGATGCAGCCAAATCTCTAATTAACTCCCTATAATAAACAGATTAATAACTAGAAATTAACGACAAGTCCACTTTATTAACCCAAACCCAACTACAACGTTACAATACATTTCATCCGTACTAACTTAATCAACTCCATTCAATCTACTAACCCAAGAATACCAATCTAATCTAATCTAAATCAACACAACTCAACACAATTTATATAAAACATTCTGAAAGTCTTCAGTTCAAAACACAATTCAAGTTGAGTTCACTTTAGAATTAGAATTTCAAAGCTCGAACACTAAACCAAACCAAACAATCTCATACTAACTTAACCAAAACCTAAACCAACATAAACCCAACTCAATTCAATACCAAACCTAACTCAACACCAAACCCAAACTCAACACCAATACCAACTCAATACTAACTTAATCCAACTGATGCCATTTTTTTGACAATATGGCTACAACATGCATGAGTTTGTCTCCAGACGAACTATTCCAAATACAAAAACGCTTATCTGACCCCTTTTTAGTGGTCCTTTCTGCGGCTACTTTAGAACGAGTCTTGCGCACAGCCGATCAACTAGGCGGCCACTACCCCCAGCATGGCCTAGATAAGGTCATTGGAAGTATTGATGCCCGTTTGGTCAGACAAACACTTCAAATCAAAGAAAGACCAACAACTACTCGATCACTTACTATCCAACCAACTGCCATTACTCTTCTTGATCATCAACTCAGCCTACCACTTGGCCTCCTAGCTTTAGCCACCAGTATTCGCCAAGGCACAACCATTACCGAAACTCAAATTAAAACTATCCTAGATCTCGATACTTCGTCACGACTAGTAGCACTAGCCCTTGTTTCTTTATTTGAAGCAATCATTCAAACCGCCCAGGACCCTAATTCACTCTGCTACAACGCTCTTCTCAACCTTCTAGCCCATCCCAGTAGTGAACCAAAACTAAACGCTCTTTGGACCATCCAAGCTCTCCCCAAACCCGCCGCTCTCCTAACCACTACCCTTGCCACTCTCAAAGAAGATAGCAACCAACGCCTCCCCAACCCTATTCTCACTCCAGGCCTTCTAGCTTTAACCGCCCTTCTTCTTTATCGCATGCCCCATCTAACTAACCTACCTTCAGATCTAGACCTAATCATCCAACGAACTCTAACTAAATCCTCTAATGAAAATGTCCTTAATGGCCTACTGATTATCTTTTGGGTCCTAACTCAAAAAGGCCTAACTACACACCTACCTTATCTAGCCATTCTAGTTATCTTTTCCCGTAGTATTCCCATCAAACGGTCAGCCCGCGGCATTCTAACCGAACATCTTGGCCGCCATCCTTCTCCACAAGCCCTCACCATCATGGATGCTTTAGCTGCTCCCCATCCTCCTACCCGCAAACTACTCTCTTTCTTCCAAGTCCCACTTTCTCTCCTCGCTAATTATGCCCACCTACCCATCTCGGAAGGTCATCCCAAGCGCATCAAACTAGGCATCGCCCTTTGGTCAGCCACCCAGTCCACCACCTGGGAACTCAACTGGTCCGATCCTTTCAATCGTATAGCGTCCATCCGCATAGCTCTTCTCCCACCTACTGAGCGGCCATCATCTCTCCACCATCTACCCACTACTATCATGGCCCAATTATCTCCAACACTTTTCAACCAAACATCTATTCACCATTTGGAACTCCTTCGACTCGCAATTAAGTTAATTAGACAGCAAGGTCTTTCTTCACCCAACGCCCCACCTATTCTTCTCCTAGCACTCAAGAAGAACCTTTTTGTCCGCTCAACTATCAAAACTCTCCTCCATCATCACCATGACACTAAAGAGCTACTCCCACTTCTCCGCCGATTTATCTCCGCACCCGCCTGCCGCCTAGCCCTTTCCCTACTCACTCACCAACCAATTCCTACTCTTCCTCCCACTCAGACCAACATCACCCATCCCAAAGTAACTCCACTCCCTTCCCTCTTCGCCTTAACCATCCACCATCTTCTCCCACCCCAACCTCTCAAGCAAGCCCTTTTCGCCGCACTCAAACTCTACACCACCCATTCTCTCCTCGGAGATATCGGTTCATACTTCCGTCTCGATGCCCTTATCCTTCTCTCCCTACGCTACATCCACCGCCGCCAATTCTTCACCCGACTAACCCAGCACTGTCCCACTCTCCTCCAAGACCCACCCTACTCCCTTATTCTCGCCAAACTCACTCCCCGCACTCTCAAACTAACTCCCACCGAGCAACACCAACTCACCCACTACCTCTTCCTCTTCGCCCAAGATAAATCCCGCCGCATCGCCCTCTTCCTTTTTAACGTCCTTCTACCCACCCTCAAACTATCAACCACCCTCAAACTATCACCAACCATTACTCCACTCAACCCAACATCTTATCCACTACCCCCCACTAACCAACTCAACTCC